CTACCAACTCAATTTGTGCTTCCATTTGGGGGCAGAAGAGAGGAGCGGCGCCACGGGATCAAGCGTCCCCCCAGGCCCCTGCGGCTCCACTACATATGTTCCTCTTCCCAAACCTAATAATAACCACTCCAACCAGAGCCAGGTATCTCGATTCTGTTATACACAAAAATACACCGTTTCTATTATTTGCACCATACAGGTTTTTTCCCAAACACTTGTTCTTATTGTTTCTTACTGGTTGGTACAATACTGCAGTACTGCCTACATTTACATGTTTGTAATTTGGCAGATGTTTGTATCCAAAGCATCCTACATTGGATTCAAGGCATACAATTTATTAGTTCGTGCATTCCCTGGGAATCGAACCCATGACCTTGGGGTTGCTAACACCATGCTCTATTTCTTGAGCTAATATTTCAATGGTACACTGTTGTCACATGACCTCGATCTATACATGATTACTTCCGATTATATTCGTCGTATACATATAAAACAGATCATATTTGTAGTCCAATTTTGTAAAAAACATTTGTTTAAAACGTAAATAACGAGTCAGGAAAATATTAAATATAGCAACTTACGGTTCATTGCTCACAAAATAATTGTATTATTAAAAAGCATTTTATTATGATATACAATATTCTGCACTATGTGCTATCAGATTCTGTTCCATGGATAAAATCTGCAGTGCATATACATTCTGAGTACAATAGTGATAGCAACAGTTTTTCTCTCACCCAAAGTGATACTAGAACAGGATGGACATATCATACATCAAGTTTGATTAAATAAAGAGCTGCACAAAATGTTTAATGTAATAAAAAATAAATAAATAAGGTCACACTTTAGATTAGGGTCTAATTCTCACTATTAACTAACTATTAACTATGACTTTTGCCTCAATAAACTCTTAATTACGGCTTATTAGTTAGTAAGGTTGTTGTTTCGGTATTGATAGGATTAGGGAGAATATCGTCATGCAGAATTAGGCAATAATATTTGCTTTATAAGTACCAATAAACAGCCAATATCCTAGTAATATAATAAACAACTAGTTCATAGTGAGAATTGGACCCTAAACTAAAGTATTACCAAAAATAATAGAATAAATGAATAATAATAATACAAATAATAAAAAAATAATAAAAAAGTATATATTGTAAATATTATTTAAAAATAATATAAATTGTATTAAAAATAATTATATAAGCAACTCAAAATAATCGTGGCCTGGTATGAATAACATGCTCTTCAAAATGACAAACTTTTATTCTGTCAGAAATTCTCAAAGGGATTTTTTGCTGACAGAATCATGCTTCAGTAGTTCTTTCGGCCTTGGGAAATGATGACAGACAGCTCCTGAATTTGAGGTTGTCCCGAAAGAAAACTGCTTCCCGTTTCTGTCTATTTCGGTGTGCCTCAAAACGTCAACTTTTAGCCCTGAGCAGGTCCAAACTGTGATTACCACTAAAAGCTATTTTAGGTTTTTAGGCTATTGTTCTTACTTTCAGATGACACAAAACACTGAGGTACACTTAGCGTGCTGACCCCACGCGAACGCATTTACAGACCACTAGTCTCTGATCGGCAGACAGTCTGTCAGATAGACCGAGACACTGCTTTCATTACTAACGGATTCTTACAGCCACAAGGTTGTTTGCAAACAAAAATGCGGTTTGAGAAGCCAACAGAAAACCAGAGAGAGAGAGAGAGAGAGAGAGAGAGAGTGAACAGGTTTGGATGGAGTGGTTACACATACAGACTGTTATATCCACATATATAATCGAGTGAGATCAGACAGGCTTCATCTAAATCTCCACCTCTTTTATTCATTCTGTCTGTCTCTATTTTCTTTTTCTCTGTTCCTTTCTCTCACTTTCTCTCTCTCTTTCTCAGGCGCTTGGTTTCTTGCTCTATTTTCTCCCTTCCTCTGATTGGCTGCATTGGTGCTTTTCTGCCCTCTCATTGGACGAGATCTCTCTCTCTCCTTCTTGCGCTCCCATTTTCTCTCCCTTTTCCCATAATGCCCATGGTTGGTGAGCAGGAGCTAAGGGTCTGTCCAATCATTGTCTGAGCCATCAATCAAAGCTGACGGGCCCAAGCGACATGAAAAGAAACCTCAGTGGCAGCCATTAACCGAACACCCCTCCACCACCCCTCTTCTCTCCCTCTCTCTCTCTCTCGCGCTCTCTCAACCCCCCGTGCTTTGTTTTCCTTTCAGCAGACAAAAACGGACTGACAAGATGGAGGGTTGGACATTAATCAAACCACCCCATGGAACCACCTCTTCCTCCTGATAATAAATAAATTCCACTCTTCTCATTGGACAGATGCTCGCATTTTCGCCCGGCTTTTCCTCCTCCTCCTCGCTCGTTCACGCTCGCTCTCTCGGTTTTAAGGATGCTCATCTGCTCTCAGTCAGAGTAATTCCCCACAGATCAGAGTGGGGCAGGTGTTTGCCTCACCCTCGTCCCTCTCCAGGGGCCGTGTTGCCCTGACAACTGACCATCCCGAGCCGCTGCCGTATGCGTGTTCTGTTTGGTTTGGACCAATGGTCACCCCCTGTGCTTTAATTGAACATGCACTTCTCAGCGGGAGAACATGCAGAGAAAGAAACAGCAGCAAAAACACGTTCTTCCTACACGCATGACTATGAATGTCAACTGTGCTCAGATCGTTGCGTGTTTACGAATGGATTTCTCAGAGTCTCGCTGGTGGAAAATCACACTCAGCCCAAGAGAATGCATATAAAAACAGCCTTTGTTGATTTGGAAACATGACAGCTGGTCTTTCCCTATCCTACCGCCATGACAGACAGAACAACAAGAATCCCAAGATGTCTCAAAGACCTCTAATTAAAAGAGAACTGAGGTTTATTGAAGAATGTGTCCGTTGTAAAAAAAAAAACAGCACAATGCAACTCAGCTGGGTTTGTATTTTTACACATGCAACAACCAAACAAAAAGTATAGCAAAGCAACACAAAACAAAACAGCTGTTGGTCTTACATTAAACATAGCATACAAGATCAAGTCAAAACACAGCACTACCGTTTGATCTTGTATTACACAAATGAAAGATTACAAAAAAGTTCAGACTTTAATTATCCACACAAAATATCCAAACAAAACAACAAAAGTATAGCAATGCAATGCAAAACAAAACAAAAACAGCTGTTTGGACTTATATGTGGACTTAAGGTTAAAACAAAACGCAGCATGACTGTTTGATCTTGTATTACACAAATGCAAGATCAAAACTAAACTAGGCAGAGAAACAACAAAAAAACAGCAGTTGAGTCTTTTTTATAGATACAAAAGATCCAAACAAAACAAAGAAATGTCAAAAACAAACCAAAAAATGATTGGCAATTATATATAGCAATTATACATACAAAAAAATCCAGACAAAAAAAAAACCTTAAGTGAGGGCTTGAAAAAACGTCGGTTTGAACTTGTATTTTACAAAAGATTAAGAAGAGGGGAAAAAGACAAACAGAACAAAAAACAGTGGTTTGGGCTTATATTATACATTCAAAAGATCCAGACAAAACCAATAGAAATAGAAAACAAAACAAAAAAACAGTGATTTGGTCCAAACAAAACCAAGCAAAGCTAAACAAATAAAAGCAAAGCTATAAACAGCAGTTATAGTACACACATACACAAGAAAATGCTCATGTAATCCTACATTTTAGAGTCTAGTCCCTGAAACGTACAATATATGTTATGACTGGGATTGAGATTATTGAATTAGACTTTTTGTGCTCATCTAAGATGCTTGTGGATTGTTGAATAAAAGTGCAATGTCATTTAATGGCACAAACCGTTGGGGAGGATCATTTCCTCCAAACATTTTTTTCCTCCGGTTGACAGGTAGAAGACAAATGAAAAGTTAAGATGGCACGTGGAGGCATGTTAGTGAGCCGCAACGGGTACCGCGGCACCCTGCCTTGCAGGGCATTGTGGGATATGTCCTCCACCGAAGTTGCTGCCCAGATGACATATTACAGCTCTGCGGGAAACGCATGGGTCTACAGGAGGAGGCGTTTCTCCTGCATTCTGCAAACGTTTAATTTCGGTTGTCTTCCCTGCTGCTTTTACCCAGGTTCAGCAAGGGCCCCACGGAGGGCCGAGGCGTGTTTGTGTTGGCCCCTTCAGAGAAGGATGCGAGCCCGGAGGACTGTTTAACGCCCCAACCTTCAACTTTGAAGTTTTCTTTGACTGTGCAAGTGAAAATATTGGCGAATACAGCTGAAGCACTTTTCATATTCGTAAATCAACTCGAGCCTTCAAGAGATCAAATGGCCACACTGTAACGCCGTTTGAAATATTCGCTTCCTCGCAACGTTTACATCCTCACATTAGAAAAAAGAAAACATTCTGGGAGAGGCCTCTATCCTGGTGGCATATTCAAAGCGATTTACACACACACACACACAACACGGCGCCGATAACACAACAACACAATGAGGATGTCTGAACCTGCAGAAACAAAAGAAGCCCATTGATTTGCTGTTAGCAGATCTAGTGAGTGGAAATACAGGCAAGGTCTGTAAGATGGCTGGATCGGTGAAGATATCGTCCCCAGTGCCACACCGCTGTTTTCCCGAACCTCAATCTGTTGTATCATTGACACCTAAATGGATTAGGGTCATGTATCACTGATAATGGTCTAGCCCAATGCTGGTGTGTCTGCAGTTCGGGTTGTGTGTGCACGATAAGGCCTATTGATTATGTACCATATGCAGTTCCCACGCCGTCCTTTGTGCCATGTGTTCGGTGATGTGTTTTTTTCCCCCTGAAAGGGGTGTGTGCGGTGATACAGCTGGTGAGTGCGGGGTTAATTTACTCACACAGCCGTTGGCCTTCAGGAGCCTGCGTGCTTCTGTCTGGAAAGGTAAAAAAAAAAAAAACGTGTACGTTTACAAGCAGCCGATTCAATAAGCTTCTGCGAACAGAGTCTGCACTCAAGACAAAAAAAAGACGCCACACATTCAAGACAGACCAGTTTTTTTTTTTAATGGATATAATCACAGTGCTTTCGAAATGAGAACTGTACTGCTGTGTTTTCTGACTGATAAGGCCACAGTAAGGAGTCCAATATGCTATAGGAGGCACGAGCGTATTTCACATTACACACACAAAAAAATATATTCACATTACACGCCAGGGCACACTTTCAACATGTGATCAACTAAAATACCACAAGTCTGAACTACATCAATCACGATGTAACCCCCCTACCAAGTGACAACCATGTAATTTTACAGGAGAGCGATGCTTAACCATCTGCCGCTGTGTTCACAGCTCAGTCTACGTCGTTCGAAGTTTTAGCGCACGACAAACAGTGTGTGATAATGTCTGGCAGTGATGCTGGAGGTACGCTGAAGAGACTGTTTTCAATCTACTTCTAACTGTGACTCCAGGGTTCATTTTGCAATTTCAAGTCAATACAAAGTCACAGTTTTGTGTAATCAACATGATAAAGATCATACACACATAGTTTGTCACGTACTCTACAGCTTGCAAATACGATCTTAGAGGGATAGTTCACTCAGCAATAGGGCTGCATGATTTGGGGAAAAAATCAGATTGGTATTGTTCTGATAAAAATTCAGAGACACTGAAAACACCAGATCATGAGGTGCTCCCGTGTAAATGAATACAGTGCTGCGCTTCACTCTGAAACACCGCGCAAATATTTATGTAATTAAATCGCAGTCTTTGAGATTTGATAATCACACTAAGCCATATAGTGATTTTGGGTTTAATTTAGATTAATTGTGCAGCCTTACTCAAACAATTTAAATTCTGTCATAATTTACTCACCCTCATGTCATTCGAAACCTGTACGCACACTGATTTGGAACTGCAATAAAGGAAAACTGAGTAAATGATGATAGAACTTTGTGGAACTTTTAAGTTTATTAACAGAATTTTGAGTCGTTAGATTCCATTTCAAAATGCATTGGGGTTGTCCAAAGGAAGTCAACGCTCAATACTCGAACGTTGCTCCTGCCTCCTTAAAAGAGCCCACCAATGGATCATCAGCAGGGTGTGGCCTTTTCCGAAGTCTCTTGGCCTCATTCTGCAGCTTCTGTCGAACGTAGCCCTTTATTTCTGAATCTGTCTTTCCGGGGAAGAACCGCTGCACTGTCCCTGTGGAGAATGTTTCACTGGTAATCAAAGCTGCAAACTTGAGACCACAATTAATCAAAAACTTCACAATGGCCTGATTGCAGTTAATGAAATGGAACTGAATGAATTCTCAAACTAACTAAAGGACGCCCACAGTTCAGTACTTGTTACAAACCGTCCCTTATACGTACTCAGAATGGCCTGGATCTCATGTGCCGGAAGAGCTGGCTTAGGCATCCCTCGCTTGCTGTTAACGATGCCTGAGATTGAGTGAGAAGCCAGACAGTCTCTGTCGTACAGGCTGCGCAGCAGGTCATTGGTGAGTTTCTGAGCCGTGGTCCCTGTGTTGCAGCGCTCCAGAAGATCAGCACTGATAACCTTGAGGAACAAAAAAAGTTGTAAAATATGCAGTCACCAACCAATGAATGAGGGCTGCAATTCAAACTGATAATCTGCAGTACATTTCATTATCGATTAGTCAGGTGTTTGCGTTGCGCATGAAGAAACCCTGTGAGTAAGTAGTGAAAAATGCATTTCAATGACCTAAAAAACATTTAATGTCATGATACTGATCTTATAATGCAAGTATTTCTACGGTCTAATGCAGTGATTATATTTTCGCCATTGTTAAGCATGGAACACACCAAGCCGACGCCGACGAACTAGCGCCGATGAAAGCCGACTGTGTTGTCGCCTCTCGTTGCCTCTCGTCGGGGTAAAAAGCTGCACTTGAACACACCGAGAGAACTACAGCCGACTGTCAGCTAGAATCCGCGTTCTGCGCCTGCGTGTAAATGAGACAACTGTCTATTTCTGCAGATATATTCTCTATATTCGTCATTCAAAAAGAGAAACCGACGCTGCCGGCTGCAGATACACATACCGTAAACAAAGCAGTGCGTGCTTACCGTTTTAAATATCAATCCTGCTAAACACTTTCTTTATTCCACTCCGCTCATGTTAATATTGAAATATTCGCCAAGGAACACCCATGTAAGATGACGTAACATAAGAACAGCCTTCTATCTGTAGAGTTTTGACTTCTTTGCTCGCTGTTTTGCTATTATTCTCGTGCACTGACTCTTTCACTAAGCTGAACAGCCAATCAGAGTTCCCTCTTTCACCGACGGCCCGACGCCGATTCAACATGTCGAATCGGCCGAAACAAAGCCGACGAAGACCAATTTCAGCCGACGGCACGGAACCGTGCGGAACACACCGAGGAAACTTAGTCGGCCGACGCACAAAAACTGCCCAACGGCCGACCGTCGGCTTGGTGTGTTCCAGGCTTTAGACTTTCGCAAAGATTGTGCAGGCAACTGAATCAAATGTTAGCTGTTAAACATCACATTTAAGTTTTAAATGAACCACAACTGAACTTGAAATCATATATGATATGTTTAAGTCATGCATAATTAATATATATCCAAATATCTGTTCACACTTAGTTCGTGGTTCTGTAATTTTGTTTATTTAAATTGTTCTGCTGCTTTCAAATTATATAAATTTTTGTACAATACAATTTTTTTTTTTTTTTTATAAAATCACTTTAAATTGTAACTTTTAACTATTTTTGGACTTCAATATTACTATACATATTGTTTGCACTAGAGCACTGGGTGTCTGATTAATCAAAGAAATAAGCAAATTAATTGATTATTAAAGGGATACTTCACCTCTGGAAAGATGAATGTGTATTTAAAATGGGTCATTTATGTTGTAGAAATGTGAAATTATTTTTGAATTTGGAGCCTTCTAGACTGAGAAAAGCGAGAAAATGTATTTTTGGCTTATGCGCATGAAAGACAACAACTCCCAGAATGCACTTGCTTCGCTGCCCTAGGAGGCCACTCCCAAGCAGTGTTGCCAGACGTACGATAATTATCGTATCTGTACGATGTACGATCAATAATGAAAAAAATGCCATAATGTACGATCATTTCAGAATTGTGTGACACTTCAAATGATGGTCGTTGTAATCTTCTATACTCATTGATCTAGCTGTGGATTCTACGTCTACCGTGAGAAGAACGTGAACGGAGTGTTACGCATGTCTTCCATCTCATCTCATGTTATGTCTTCTCGGCCTATCATCGTGGAGAATAACTCTCATGAGCACAAGTTAGTGTTCTTTTTGTATATTGTATACAAAGTTGTATATCACATGTCATCTCTGTTTTGCAAGAAGAAAAGTAAAAAATTAAAATAATAAAAAGTTAACGTTCCTTCCGCGGCACTTAGGTCAGTATTTTCCAAACTGTGGTCGATATTTTAGCAACAAATTTAGCAACGTCATTTTCATGTCGTGTCAAAAAGTTGGTGGTCAATAAATAGCTGTATTCTGTACGTTTGACTCATGTACGATAATTTTCTTCCAAATACGATTTTGAACTTCGGGTACGATACTTCGACATTTCCAATCTGGCAACACTGATCCAAAGCCACGCCTACCGGTAAGAGAGCGCAGTTAAACAACAAGGCTAGGCTACTAATGAGTCTCCGTGATGAGTCTGCCCGGGATTTTGTGATCGCCCAAAATGTCCAGGATTAGGCTTTTGCGTTCTAAATCCGCCATTCATCATGTTTACTGTGGCGAGCAGGACGAGGCTAGGGCCGCGGGAGAACGGTGCGAGGCTGGTGGCGTGATTACTGATGAGCAACACCTGTGTGACGCACCGGTCTTGATTCTCTCACGGAGGAGCGGGAATTTTCTTAGCAATGCTACCGATCACTTGTTTAGCATTTATGTAAACACTACATTCAGATTCACCAATCAGAATGAATTCAGTTAGATTGAAACAAAAGGTGTGCATGTAAACAATGAATGGCGACTGCAGAAAGCAAAAGCTGAATCCCGGACATTTTGGACGATCTCGATGGCCGGACATGTCCGGGAAAAAGAGGATGTATGGTAACCCCTACTACTCAGCTTTCTCCACAGAACAAGAGCCTGTTAGCTTAGCTTCCAAATAAAAGATGGCTGACACTACTTTGTACATTCTGTGAGTGGGATCTATGAGCGGGTTGAGAACATGCGGAACAGCTCCTTCTACTGGCTGTAGTTTTTGGCCTCTGGCCTCAATCCTACGATGACGCAAAATGACGGATTTTTGCGTCATCGGAGGATTTTTTCCAGACAAAAAAAATACATAAATCTCTCGTTTCAGGGGGATATGGGGGAGGAAAGCATGGTAATTCGAAAATACTACAGGTTTTCTACTGATACAAAGCTTAATGCTAAATCCTGAAGTATCCCTTTAATATAGTAATTAATAGTGAACAATGAAACAATGAAACAGTAGCAAAAAAAAAAAAAAACAGCAACTGAAGCTAAAAACTTTTTGTTTTAAAACAATTGAAGACATGGGATTATGTGAAGATCTTCTGTTAAAAATGTTTATTAATGTTTTCCATTAAATAAAAATCGTTGAACTATGAATTTTCTAACCATTTTATATCGTAACCTTCACTTGAACCATTTTTGGACCCAATGTAAACATTACTTTTCACATTGTTTAAGGAGGGCACTGGGCATTATGTCCAATAAATCAAAGAAATAACCAGCAGATTAATCGATTATTAAATCGATTATCGTTAACTGCAGCCCTACGATGAAACAGTAAAAGAACAGTAATTGTTTCAAAACAATTAAACACATGGGATTCTATGAAGATTCTATGATGTTCTGGACAAGTTCTGAAACTGATTACAGCGCCGGCATCTAAAATGTAACTCTTACTTCATGTTCCAGAAGCGTTCCATTCCTTTGCGTTTGCATTGTTTGTGTGATCTCATACTGACCACACCCCTGCTGCTCTGAACTTGCACATTCATCTGTTCTTCCACTAAGCACTGTTGGAGGAGAAATGTGACTGGGTGGCCTGCTTCTCTCGGCCTCCCTTGGAATGCTGGGAGTTGCAGCTTCGTGGCTTCCGCACAGCCATCTATCACTCCTCTCGATCAACTCTTCAAGTGTCTGAGCCAACTTCCCACAAGCTGTAAAAGAAAAAGTATGAGTTTAGTCTGAAATCGTCTCACAAATGGTAACCTGTTGTGTAACATGGCACACCACAGTAATACTAAATCTTTCTTCGACGTGAAGTTTCCTCATGAACTTGCTGAACTTTTCCTCAAACTGAAATGATCTTGAAACATGAAATGGGCTGTGAATGAGTCAGTTGTTAGCAAGATTTCAGATCGGTGCACATCTTTCCCTGCCAATGGAAATGCATTGCACTAAAAAAAAAAAAAAACAGCGAGAGCACTTTGCCTCCTCATTTCAGAAGTCCACCACTTTACCTGTTAGACTCCTGATTTGCTCTCGAAGGCCGTCCATCTCCCTCTGCATACTGAGCACCATTGCGATAAGCTCCGCCCTTGAACATGATTGGAGGCTTCCAAGCACCTGAAAGGAGATTATACATATCCCATTTTAATAGCATAGACAGTGACGTGGACACATGGGTTCAAACTAGTATAAACAATTGACTAAAAATGCTGTTTTTTGCATTTGACTGTTTAAGCATGGAAAGCAAGTGTTTGGAGCCAAAAGAGTGGAAGTTGAATTCACTTTTTGGCTCTAAACTTCCAAAAGGCACTTAGATGTGTAAAAGTAAGAAGCTTTAATTAATGCAGTGAATTAAATATTAGATTTTTGATAAAGTTACTACCTCCATAGTGAAATCTGCATGCCTTGTTGCATCTCCAAGGGGCTTGTCAACCTCAAAAGCCTGTTCGAGAGCAAACCGAAATAAAACAGTGGTTCTGGTGTGGTTTGTAACTTAAAAAAAGGACGTTTGCTAACAATTTAAAAATAAATAAAAAGATATTTGAGGTTCATCACATTGACAAAACCCTCTGAAGATCCTCGATTCTAAGATGCCTCAGATATCCTGTACTCCTGTTATTACAAACTTTAATATCTTTTAAAGTGCCTTAAAACGTTTCCCTCATGATGGGATTTCATGAAGGAACTGATGACAGTCTTTAAAGTTCTTGCAGGAACTTGGGGGTTCCAGTTCCCCAGAGAACTGATTTCCTTTTTTGAAATGATGCCTAAAGGTCCTCCAGAGGGTTCTGCCAGTGTGACAATCTGTGGAAATCCAAATTAAGCCTCTAGTGTCTTCATATTTACTGTGAGTGATCCTATTAACCCTCATTAAACTGCAGATAAGCAAGTCAATAATGAAATAAACACATAAATAATTTAAAAGCTCCCTTATCACATGGAAGATACAGTAAATCATTTTAATATTTCATGTAATTGTATTATTTTATAATATCTAATTAAAATCTTATAAGTTATTATAAATGGTAAGAATGGCCACTGCAATAGTTATTCTAATCTACTCAGCAATCCTTATCAGCAAAAAACACAACTAATAAGTCAGCAATAAAAAGTAACAGACCTTTGTTTTGAACTTAATATAGTCAGCATTGCAAGATGAGATGTCCTCTCCATTTAGACCTCTCCCTTTTCTCCTCTTCGCCGGTTCTTGCTGAAAGACAGTCACATCATTATATCAAGGGTCTGCAAAACAAGGACACTTACGCAACAAAAGGATGATGTTTACATACACTGAAGACGTGGTTCGCCCTCGCACCGGTGTCTTCGGGTGTCTCTTCGTATCCATTGTACAGGATGCGCTTTGCTATTGTTTTTCTCCTCATCTTTCGCCCATTAGCCGTTTTCCTCGCCGAAAAAGCGTCCGGTTCTTTATCATGCCGGTCATGGCCACGCGCAGATCCGTGACAGCCTGATGACTTTCACGCTCGTGGCATTTCCATTAAAGTAAAGACACTCTGGCGTGTCAACATCACGAGTGCGTCTTAAAACACTTAAATACGAGTAAAATGTGTAATAAATAAATAAATAAAATAAATAAAAATAAAGGACTCTAAAAGTTTTGACAGTGGCTAACATGTCTTGAATGTATACCAGTTTGATTTAAAAAGCATCAGCCTACAGCTCATAATTGCTATATAGGCTAGTTGTAAGTGTTAACATCAGGCATTTTAACAATGTAAAGCTCATAACTGCTATTTATTCTATAGCCTTCATATGAAAGTGAGATTTATATTAGTATTAATTATAGCCAATGATCATTATAATAACCTCTTGCTATTGTAGTTTTGTTGTTGTTTAGTAATAGCAGCTTTGATTTACTGCACATTCCAGAATACACTTCAAGGTCCCCATGACATTTTTAAAACATAACAGATCCCATGTTTTTGCGTTAACACCTATTAAATATGTTATTAACTATAACAACATTAACATGGTATGAATTGTATAGTTTTAAACACATCTTGACTATCTATTAGTTAAAATCATCATAATCACTGTCATAGACATCATCATTAAAAATATAATAAATGCCACAATCTCTTGGAATGAATCATATTCAATTAATTGAAGTAAAAAGCATTTTAACTAAATACACTTGACTTTACTGACCAAAAACATAACAAAAAGTAAGGCCTACTTAAAAATTGACAAACAAAGTATTAGGCTATTTTTAGCTCAACCACTCAACAATGATAATCAAATTATTTTAAGAAAATGTTAAAACAAATAAATGTATGGATTTCTAAATGGATAAGGAGATTTAACATGTTGTATGCTCTTTGAGAGATGTAAAAAATAATATATTGATTATTAAAATATTTAATTACAAGCCTAATACATTAAGATGTATACATGGACTTGTCTTAAACCAAAATGTGGATCTAAATCTATCCAAGTCTAAAGATTTGAAATGTATTCCACATTATATAGAGATTTTAAAGCCACTTTCCTATATTCTCTTTTTCTTTATTTTTTTTTGTCCGTGTGAGCACAGATACCAGTGAGAGGTCAGGTAAGGGTTGACCCCATGCAGTCCCAGGTGACGTACAGTGAGCACTAAGTGTATCCAGAAGCACCTGAGGTTGTAAAACAGAGGTCTCTCCAGGAATGAGAGGAGGAAAGCAGCTCTGGGCTGGAACAAAGTGGATCCTGTAACTCATTAAAGCAGTCTGTGGATTACAAAAGGTCAATCAAATAGTGCCATCTGCACCAGTACTGTCTTGCTTCTGGTTTGTGAATATGGCTCAGTTAATACAAGGCCCCGTTTGATCCAATCAAGTGCGTAGGCGAGACAAATGCATATATTTATGCATATATTGCTTCTCAAATGCATATATTTTTCAGCTATTCTCAGTTAACCTGTATTAAATTATGAATGATTGACAGGCGAGTAAGTAAAGCGGCTCTTCACTAGGTACATTAAATTAGTGCTTATACTTCAAATGTGGTCTGGTCACATGCATTTTAAATATTTCATTGGGTTCACAATTCAGTGTGTTTTGGACCCTGTTTACACCTGCAATTAGTGCTGTCCACTTGTGATTACCCAAAACAGATCTTAAAGGGATAGTTCACCCAAAAATGAAAATTCTGTCAGTATTTACTCACCCTCATGTTGTTCCAACCCCATAAGACCTTCGTTCATCTTCGGAACACGAATTAAGAAAATTTTTGATGAAATCTGAGAGCTGGATCACTCCTCCAAAGGCTTCTTCAGGGATTGAACTTGCCGGCCTCGAAAAGTTCAGACATCGTTAAAATAGTCCAAGTGACTACAGTGGCTCAATCTTAAGTTTATCAAACGACGAGAATACTTTTTGTGTGCAAAAAAAACAAAAATAATGACTTTATTTCAACTATTCATTTCCTTCTCTGTGGGCCTCGAGTCAGTTCACTAGTGTAACAGCGCACGCTTCTGTTGTTGTACGTCACACGCATCACACACATGACCAGCGTCGGCCAATAGTGAGCCTACGTGTGACGTAGCTCTACGCAATTACACTAGTTTAACTGACTAGAGGCCCAAAAAGAAGGAAATGAATAGTTGAAATAAAGTCGTTATTCATGTTTGTTTTTGCGCACAAAAAGTATTCTCGTCGCATGATATACTTTAGATTGAGCCACTGTAGTCACTCGGACTATTTTAACGATGCCTTTAATAACTTTTCGAGGCCGGCAAGTTAAATCCCTGAAGAAGCCTATGGACTAGTATGAAGGAGTGATCCAGCTCTCAGATTTCATCAGAAATATCTTAATTTGTGTTCCGACGATGAACGAAGGTCTTACGGGGTTGGAACAACATGAGGGTGAGTAATTACTGACAGAATTTTCCTTTTTGGGTGAACTATCCCTTTAATACAAGGAGTAAATGGCGTCCATGTAAGTTTTGACTCATTTTAAATCCATAGCTATTTCTTTATCAGCTTGTTTATTCAATTTAAAAAACAAAGACTCACTGTTAGGAGACACAAATGGCATCGACTACAGAATTACTTCTCTACGGACACTAAGAAAGATACATTAACACACTGGATGAAAGCAAACTGGCACCTTCTCTTATAATGGTGATGAGACAAGCATGAAATCCACACTACATTGATCCTGATGGCCAGTCATTTCAGTTCAGACCGTCTGGGAGGTTCATTCTATAACTTACATGAACAAAATGACTTACTCATCCTGCCGGATCCACCGTGACATTCATAATCTGCAGAGATCAAACATGAAGATCTGTGACTAAAGCACATCTTACATCACAGCAGATGTTATTACAGTCCAGACTACATGTGACAGCAGAGCCACCATCTCTTGCTCAGACAGACTAGTTATTGATCTCCTCCCAACATTTCGGCCTCTTGAGAGGATCCGAAACGGCATAGAGAGGAGTATTGATGATATATTGATATGCATTATTTTATTTACTTTAAGCATAAGGCCTTTCACCTCTCTCCTAACAAATCAATTGCACGTACAGCATGAAGCTGCTTTTCTGGGTCGCGGGCTGCCATTCCCCATTTAGACTGAAGCAGCTTTGAAGTTTGTCTTGTGACTGTCAGACTTATGCTGCATCAGAATTTGAACAATAGGAGCTGATCTAAAGTCAGTATAAAACTGCAACATGGGGTTGGGAATCAGTTATTTAAAATAAATGGAACGAAATGATTTTCATGATGCCAATCAATGAGGACAGAACATTGTATACAAATATTTTGTCAATGTTTCCTGTATCACTATTCACTGGCAGAGCTAATTAAACCATTTAACCATAAACTAAAAAAATTTGTGTGTGCATAATAAGTATTAAAAAATGAATAAATAAATACAAATAATAAAATATATATATACACACACTACCAGTCAAAAGTTTTGGATCGGTAAGATTTTTAATGTTTTTAAAAGAAGTCTCACCAAGGCTGCATTTATTTGATTAAAAAATACAAAGAAAAAAAATTATATTGTTAAATATTATTACAATTTAAAATAACTGTTTTCTATTTTAATATATTTTAAAATGTAATTTATTCCTGTGATCAAAGCTGAATTTTCAGCATCATTACTCCAGTCTTCAGTGTCACATTATTCTTCAGAAATCATTATAATATGCAGATTTGATGCTCAATAATTCAGTATTATTATCAATGTTGAAAACAGTTGTGTACATTTTGTTTCAGGATACTTTGATGAATGGAAAGTTCAAAAGAACAGCATTTCTTTGAAATATAATTTTTGTAACATTATAAATGTCTTTCTTTCTGTAACTTTTGATCAATTTAAATCATCCCTGAAGAAATAAAACTATTGATTTCTTTTATTTATTTCCCCCAAAAAATGAAATAAAAATTCGAACTGATCCCAAACTTTTGAACGGTAGTGTTTTAATGTTACAAAAGATTTCTATTTCAGATAAATGCTGTTCTTTTGAACTTTCTATTCATCAAAGAATCCTGAAATAAAAATGTAAATAACTGTTTTCAACATTGATAATAATGAGAAATGCTTCTTGATCATCAAATCATCATATTAGAATGATTTCTGAAGGTCACTGAAGACTGGGGTAATGATGCTGAAAAATCAGCTTTGATCAGGAATAAATTACGCTTTACTATATAATCACATAGAAAACAGTTTTAAATTGTAATAATATTTCACAATATTACTGTTTGTTTTGTTTTTTTGTTTTTGTTTTTTTTAAATGCAGCCTTGGTGAGCAGAAGAGACTTTTTTTAAAAACATTAAAAATCTTACCGATCCCAAACTTTTGACTAGTAGTGTATATATAGTGCACTCAAATTCGCACATACTTGCATCCCATATTATTTGAGACCAACCACAAAAAGAAGCATGTGATGATCAATGAACTAGAATTAAGTGGAATCAGGAACAGAACTCGTTAAATTCATATGATTCCAAATGTGAATAGTACCTGCTTGCGCAGGTAAAAGACAAAGACTTTCTTCTCTCCTGCCCCCTCCTTCTATGTACATAATGAAAATATAAGAGTAAATAGTGCCATAAAGAAAGAGGCCCTGCCTGGGCACTGAGTGGGATTTAATTGACCATATGGGGGCGTTGGAGTTGATCTCTGACCCTACTCCCATCAACCCTTGGGAGCGCCCGAAAATGATTTAATGGAGAGAAAAGTAGGCCAGCCACCCAGGCAAAAAAGGATGATACAAATGATCACACATACAGTACTTTTAATACTATAATGTCTGTTTCTCTTAACATTTCCCTATGGATGTGCATGCAGAAGCTTGTTTCTTATACTCACCTATCGCTGATAGACAGCTCGTGTTTTGAGGCCTCTCAGCAGTCTGTCACTTGTTTAGACTCCCCACCATGGCACTTCTTTCCTGCGTTGCCAACGTTCTCTCCCCCATTTCTGCTCATGCATATGGAGAAGCTTAATTTAGAAGGACAACAGCACTGCCTTAAGATCTGTCGCAGAGAGACAACATAGACTGACACATGAGTGCAAAACAATGCAGGCCATTCGGTGTCCAGGGCAGCACTGAATGTGAAGGAGTGCTGGGCAGGGGTCTTGCAAGCCTTTGATGGAGAAAACCCGGTTAAGGGTTACCTCGCTCTCTTTTTTAAGGTGAAATGTGTCATTTTTTGTACATTTTGATGCTTAAATATGTGTATTACAGTTTAGAGGGCAGAGACAACCGAGCCAAAAAAAATTAATTAATTTTACAATTCTTTGTTGTTCAGAAATTATACACTTCACCTTTAAAGAAACAAGCATTCAAACCCAGCATTTACAAGTCAATTTCAATCTCATGCAAGGCACATAGTATAGTTTCTTCATGTTTAGTTTCTTTATCCTAAATCAGACATATTACAGAATCACTAACCTATACTTTCACATCTTACCTTGATGGTAAAATGACAAACTAATTGGTAAAACTAAAAACACAAATTCAAAACTATTTTGTGAACACTTAAGCCCCTTTCACACAGCGCGTTGATCCCGGGAAATTGCCAGAACGCCTTCTGTGTGAACGCAAACATGACCCGGGATTGATGCCGGGATCGATGCCGGGTTGGGGACCTAGTAGCCTAAGTAACATTGCCGGGATCAGTCCCGGAACGCGCGCTGTGTGAACAAAAGCCGTAACCAATGCCGTGACGTAATGATGACGCTGAAGTGAAGTGAAAGCAGGCTAGTGAAACGGTACGTAATGCGCTATAGTTTATGATCGAATCAGAGAAAAAAATGCACAAGCGTGGTTTCTCCAGAGAGAAATCGCAGCTCATAAGCAAACTATACACGCCGCTGAGACATTAGCCTACATGTCACAACGATGTCACGTGTCTTAACGGGATTTTTACGGGTTTTGTGTGAACGCACTCGCTTTATCCGTGTATTTTCCGGAATCTCTGTGTGAAAGGAGCTTTATACTTAAAGGAATAGTTCACCCAAAAATTACAATTATGTCATCATTTACTCACATGTGGACTTACTTTCTTCTGTGGAACATAAAAGAAGATATTTTGAAAAATGGACTAATAACCAAACCGTTTCAGTTCCCAATGATTTCCATTGTATGGACAAAAATTACAGTGGAAGTCAATGGAAACCGAAACTATTTGGTAACCAACATTCTTCAAAATATCTTATTTTGTGCTGCACGGAAGAAAGAAACTCAAACAGGTTTGATGGTGAGTAAATTTAACCGATGACAGAATTCTCATCCCATTAAGCATGTAAACCATTAACGAAATAATCGCATATGTTGTAGCATCCCTCATATTTAAGTTTCTTTGTATAAAAACACCTGCTGATAAATAAGTAAACTCCAACGTGTCAAATGTTGATTCTCATGACCTATTAACATCTAATTCATTGCATTTGCAGCAAGAAACAAGACCTTTTCCCCCACCAGCCGATCCAGATCTGGTCTACGGTCATCTGTTAACATGAATCTGAGAGTTTCAAGATGACATGAAGCTGTGCAACCAGCAAACTTTCTCCCAGAACACCGTTCTGTTCAGCATCAGCCCTTTCTGCCTTTGAGGGATTAGAGTGATGTCATCGGCAAGGTCTCAACCCTTTTCGCTGTCATCCTGGCTCAGGTCGCCGTTAAGTCCGAGCGGCGCAGCTTTTGCATGCGCTATAATTCAGACTGTGACTTTGATGATAATAGCAGTAATAATGGCCTGACAGTGACGGATGGGTGCAGGCAATTTGGGGGCCCGTGAAGTGACCCCCGGCTCAATCAGAGCACTTCCAGGTTAAATGTGACCCCAGGCAGCCGGCAAATAGGGAGAAGTGCTGAATGGATGAAGGAGAAAAAGAAAGAGTGAGAGAGAGATAGAGAGAGAGGTAAAGCACTGAAGTGAGGAACACTCCTCAGGATAATAAGTAATTGCTGCTATGCCATTTCTTTCCCGTTTGGATGCTTCTGCAAGATTCCAAGAGTAGAAACTCTGTCCGCTAACCACAGAGGCAACCACATTCGAATCCCAAGAGCTATACTCGAAATTCTGCCGCGTTGCCAGAACCTTTCGGTTTCACAACCCAAGTCTTTGGCCGCAAACACAGTACTCTTAACCAGTCCAAACACCTCCCCGGGCAGCAGTGGGAATGCTTGGCCAGGCCATGTGTTAGACATTAAACGCAATCAGTGACGGCGTTTTTTGAGTGCTGGAGAGATTGAGAGGAAGGGAGATCCAGGTTGATAAATAGCAGAGCCACTCAAATGCCCGTCTGTTCACGGGGAGTCTGGGTAATCAAACCAAGGCCTGTTTGCTTTATTTATGCCGCACGTCAAAATGAGAGATTTATCGTTATTGCGAGGCAGCTCTTGATTAGTGAGGAGAATGTGGGAAGCTAAACTGGAAAACCTCTACTGGTCGTTTAACGTCTTCTTGTCGGGATGAGCACAAAGCAAACAATAGATGCATGCTGGTTAAGATGGAGAAGTGACAGGGATTAAGTGTTCTTTGTGGCGAATTCAATTCTGGGCACAGCATTTTCTCATGATTACTGTACGAAAACCCTCTCCAACTCTGTTCAAAAAACAACTAACATCTGATTGCCATTCATCCTTTAGTGGTATCATCTGCAGATGGGATTTGACACCAAAGACAACATGAGCTATGGAAATGATTAAGCAAGACCTCCACAGCAAATAGCTTGGTCATGCAGTACTATAATTTTAATTTCCTTCGCAAACAACCGTTTCAATATACGCCTGGACAAACCAAATAAACACTTCTGACGTACTTACGGTTTCTTGAGACATTTAACCTTTTATCTTTCCCTGCCAGAAACAAACGGCATGTTAAGAATTAACGTAAGGTTCTTCCCTCTAGGTCAACACCGTTCCTTGCAGTTCCTGTATTTTTCCATTAATCCTCCTCCATCTCCCTTAATCATACTGCTGGCCCGGCGACTTGAAAGGCGCCAAGTAACACGCAACCTGTCAGATCCAGCAAGGGAAAAATGAATTAAGTCCAGAGGGTAAAGTTGGGACGGAGAGAAGTGTGAGTGGGCCGGGTATTGAGCCCTGGGGCACCCCGAAAGTCATAACTCAGAGCTTAGGTACCACGGCCCGCCTGAGGAGTTACCGTCTGCCAATTGATTTAGTGTCATCGGAGGTCTTGGCCGCCTCTTACGATTATGTGCCTTATTAAGTGATTCTCTGAGCATGACAGCTTTAGGATATTAGGTGGTACTTTCTGTGGCCTTTTTCTAAGTACATGAATTGCCTGCTTTCATTAGTCTGAAGGACACTGCTCAATCGTAGTGTGATGGTGTGAAACCTTTCCTATACAGTATTGACTATACGGCCAGTTGGAAAAAAATACTTACATTTTCCATTAGGCGCAGTCTCTCTTCAGTTTTCACTAAGCATCTCTACAACTCTAGATTTAACATTTTGAGGTCGCAACCCTCTGGACGACAACATTTCTAAAAAACTGAAACCCAAATATTTTAGTACCAAAGCATGCTATAACACCAAGTGAGCATGTTTCCTTTAGAAGGACATTTCCTCTGGATAGTGTTTATTTTCTTTCACCTTTGTTTGATGGAAAGGTTATGCAAACATATATAAAAGAACGATTTTTGTTTGATGTGTGTATATCTGTGCCTGTGTGTGGATGATTATGTGTGTGCAAAGAAGCCAAAATTGTGAGTTAAATATTGTCATAGACATTCATTAGCCAAGTGCAACAATTACAGGGGACTTTTGACCAAAGTTACAACTGCAGGATTATTTTATCAGAAATCACATACACAGAGTTCCCAGAACTCTCCAGGAGAAATCTCTTCATCCTCCATGTTGGATAAAATTCCTGTACGAAATATGCTGTTTACCATGACTCCATGGCTTCATGCATTACTGGAAATAGACAAAGAGAAACCAAAAAAGATTCAATAAAGTCTTATGCTGTCAGTAATGGCAATACATATACTGTTCTCCTAAAATGTTTCTGGGGTATAACCATCTTTTCTGTACTGTATTTTTTGATGATTTGTGTGATGACAAAGTGTTGATTTGAATGATTGGACAGGGCACAATGTAGAATTGACCAATTGGCTCCAGAATTTTAATTGCACTGGCTACACCCTACAGGAAGTCAAACTGGATTGATAGGAACTATTCATTCAAAAGAGAATGCCTTCAGGGAGTGTGCTTCACTTCACGGATCCATATATCTATTTATAAATAATTTACATGTATTAGATTAGATTATATTATGTGTGTGTGTGTGTGTGTGTGTGTGTGTGTGTGTGTGTGTGTGTGTGTGTGTGTGTGTGTGTGTGTGTGTGTGTGTGTGTGTGTGTGTGTGTGTGTGTGTGTGTGTGTGTGTGTGTGTGTGTGTGTGTGTGACAAATAGATTAATATAGATACTGTTTAAAAGTTTAAGCCTTTTTATAAGAAATTAATACTTTTTTCAGCAAGGATGCTGTTCTTTTTAACATTCTAGTCATCAAATAATCCTGGAAAAATGTATTATGGTTTCCAAAAAAATATGAAGCAGCACAAATGTTTTCAACATTGAAGAAATGTTTCTTGAGCAGCAAATCATCATATCAGAATGATTTCTAAAGTATCATGTGACACTGAAGATTGGAGTAATGATGCTGAAAATTCAGTGTCGTCATTACAGAAATAAATTACATTTGAAAATATATTCAAATACACAACCGTTATTCTTGCAATAATTTTTTTTTTTATCAAATTAATGCAGCCTGGTGAGCATAAGAGACTATTTTCAAAAACATTTAACAAAATCTTTGAACAGTAACATATACTATACAGATAAATCAATTTCTATATAGAAATTCAAATGATCTCTCTGTCAGTCTATAATACTGTCAAACTACAAAACTTCAACCAGGCTTTATCAAACCATCATTCAAAATCTGTCTTCATGAAGTTTCCTTTGTCTTAAAAAACCTTGTATTACATCCACATTACCTTTAAGGATAATCTCAATCTTTACATTCAGCAAGAATGTCAAACACCAAACATGAAACTGTATACAGCCAATGTGTTAAAGTTATAATCGTTCCACAAAGGTAACATTCAATATACGCATTGCTGAGAAATGTTTCCAGGGTCAGGACTCTGAACCTTTAGTCAAGGGTGTTTTTACTGCTGAATCTTTCTGCCAAGAGAGTTTGACAACATGGCATTATGTGCAATTTATGTCAGGCTTGGTTTTATGTGTGCGTGTTTATGTGCGAGAGTCTCTGTGAAAAAGAGTGTGACAGAGATTGCATTCATATGTATGACCTTCCTCTTTAGAGGCACCGTCAAAGATCACAGTCAGTGTTGACAGAGATATTTCTCCCATGCATTGCAGCGTTGAGGGCTGCTGTCTAAATGCTTACTCACCAGGCGCCGACTGCACAGGCCGCCAGCAGAGCCAGCCAGTGGCCCTGAATGCCCTTTTGCTGACTAGACTCTAGCAGCCAATAAATGGAGCTGTCACTCCTGTCAATCTTGCTTTCTCTGACACAATCGACCTATCACGCCCACACATGCCGTCCTGCCCGCCTCAATTATGTCCCTAAAAGGACAGCTTTCTCTGACAGCCCTGCCTCTTGAACGACAAAACGCAAAGATGGCCAATCATCTCATTCTCCGCCCTGGGGATTGAGAAAGAGAGAGAGAGAGAGTGAGAAAGACTCTTTCTTTATGCAATGTTATATTTAAATGTGTAGCTTAAAAATCAGTCTCTTTAATTCATGAAGCCTATTATGAAATAATGTTTTTGAATAAATGTTATCATAAAATCTTTCCTCATATGATGCTTGTGATACTATCACTAAACGTTCACAAAGTGGTCCATCACTTGACATCTCACCATACTTGAAAACAAACATAACAATTTCGAAAGTGACTGATTCACACAGCTCTGTACCTTCAGACGTCTTAGATTCTTGTGATTTCATGGATAACCTGAAACATGAGGAAAGGCAAGCCAGGAACAAGGCCTCAGAGTCTCCTGTCCTGGTCCAACTGCATTTTGGTGCTCTATCGCCCTCTACCGGATGAAAGGTTGATGCGCAAGTTTGCTGTAAAAACAGACAATGATAATGAACCACAATGTTTTCAATATGCTTGAAATGTTTGTTCTAATTGTAACATTAATCAATCAATATTTTGAAATCCTGCTCATAAAAAGTATTTAATTGGATGTTTATTAATAAAATATTTTTTCTTTAAAATATTAGTCCCATTGTCAAAAATTTCTGAATTTCTAATCTTCACTTCAAATAATTTAAACAGTGTTTAAGTGTATATACATACACACACACACACTGTTTAAATATTAAGCAAATTAGACAGTATTTCTGACTGGTTACAAATAGACTGAAACTGTCTGCAACAGCTAATGTCTCTGTATTTTGAAAAGTTAATAATAAAAACATTAGTACACACAAGTAAAAAAAAATTGGTTTTGTGTAATAAGATCTAAATTATCAATTTTTTATTTTTTTATTTGAGTCATATTATATTATTTGAGTAAACATGATTTGGCTAATGGCCTTTAGACCAACAAATAGGCTACCTTTTAATGGTTGAGTAAAGTAGCCTACTCAATAAAACAATAAATAAAAATAGATATTTACATTATTATCCTACATTTAGAAGGCTAATTCAATACTGACCCGTTTCCTTTTGTCAAACATTTTATATAATATTTTATCTGTGGCTGGCTATGTACATTGACGTTTTGGGCATATGCTAACTGCAGCCCGTGGTGGCTTTCGGCCTGAAAAATTTATCATTTTCATCATTTAAACGACCTCGACTACACTTTCCTCTTGATTACTTTTCTGTTGACTATACACTCTGTGAAACCTCCCCTCTCCACATATATTCAGAGACCTGTCGCCGTGTTTATCCTTCGCGAGGATAAATCGTGTTTTTTCCTATCCCGCGCTTCCATCTCGCGGGTTCTGAATGGCGCGAGGGTTTATTTGTTTAGGAGAGCAGCATTTATTTTCCGCGTGCTCTGTTTGGGCAGATGGCGGGTAGCGCCGGGCCAAGTGGACCCGGGTGTTTATTTGAAATGGGGCGTGCGGCACGCGAGGGTATTGAGGAGCCCCGCGGACCATGTGTTTTTCTGTGACGCGGAGTTGGCAGGCGACCTGACGAGAAACAGGAGACAAAATGGCGGGCCATCTCTCTATGAGCTTAGGCCTTCCATACGGCGTTGATCTGGTTAAAAGCGGCTGGCTTCATGGATGGATTCATTTCATGAGATCTCGAGATCCAGCACAACACATATTTTAATATGATTTTAATGCAACATGACAGTGCGGTGCAATACTTAAGGAAAGGACCCTGATAGTTAAATAACACAGGCCTCCAAAGTACACCAGTTCTTCCAAGAAACGCACGATTAAAATAGTTAATTCTATGTTAGCTATACGCACTTTCTTTCTTTCAACAGTTTGAGTGATGATTAATATTGTGTGTTAAAAAGAAACTGGCCAGGAACATATGTCATGAGCACTTGATTTATGAATTGTTAGTTATAGCTTGAAAAATAGGTTTTCGGCAGCTATTTTACCTCCACTCTCTGGTGTGATTTTACTAATTTTGTTACCAAATTTTGTTTCCATATTTATCTTTCTACCACCACTGTGGTAAATAGAGCAATTGTTAAATTGTTCTGTGGATTAAAGGTGAAATTGTGTGTACATTTGGTAAGGATGAAATACTAGTCTTTTCTTTGAATGTGTTGAGTTGATAATCTGTGTTTTAAACTATATAAGTATAACAGTAAATGTTGGAGGTGAAAACACTTTCTTTTGTGTGGAGGGGCCCATGATGATTGACAGCACACATTAAATTAGCCACTCCCTGTGGTCTTAGCCCTGCCCTTCATTTGAAACGTCATTTTTTAGAGGAACCTATCAGTAAAGAACCAATCCATCAACGTCAGCTCCTTAGCCAATCAGGGAGAGTATGCTAAACTGCTGCTAGCCAATCAAGCTCAGTTTATTCACGCTGTCTCCTATAAATGCAGCAACCCCTCGCTGTGCTACATGATTTGACTGAAAATGTGAGTGGGATAACAGTTACATGATATGAGCTGCTGTTCTGGTGATTGTGGATTTTAACTCCTGCAATGAAAGCAAAGGAATTATTTCAGATTATTGAACTGTGATGTGAGGCTTGTCGTTTCTGGCTGATTTAGAAATGAGTCACAGTCACAACATCTAAACGTTCAAACACACAGTGCAAGAAACTGGACTGTTGACAGAACTGTCATTTTTGTGTAATAATACACTTTCAATCACCTCAGTTTCTAAAAGGTTAGACTTACAACACTGTGTCGTTCACATTATCTCTTTCTCTCTGTTATACTCACTCCATCACCCTCCAAACAGAGCAGCAGTTACATTTCCCCAAGCATGATGATCTGCCAACATGTGAAATATGAGGAACAGTTCAAAGGTCTCCCCATATGCCAACTGGCTCCTATGATGTAAAAAAAACATGTGACATCAGCGTTGTTGCCTGTACTTCCCAGATGCCACTTATACCCAATTATGGGTGACCATTTGACCAATCAGTGTTTCAGAACTGAACCCCCTCATAATTCATTAATTTATAGTGTCAACTTGATGTTTTGATCAATAGCCTAGGCTATTACTGCTCTTGTCTGTCTTAAAGCTCACCTTTATTTAGATAATACACACCATGGTGTTTGTTTGACTTAATTTAGGGCTATTATACTTCATAAGATACTTTTGTTTTTTCTTAGTTTATCAAGCCGTATACATGTGTGTATCAGGTAAGAAATGAATGGGGGATCAGGCCAAAATGCCTATTTTGGTGGTCTGATGTAGTTTCTTCAAGTTATACTCTTTGCTTATATATTATCATGTAAAATTTGTATTAAAATGTATTTTATTTTAGAGCTTAATGAAAACATCTAATGGTTCACATTGTGAATTCATTTAATTGACATCATGTTATGCAGAGAGAATATGGTTCGAAATAATATGTCCTCATAAATGTACCAAATATTACTCTAAAAATCAAATTTAGGGGGCAAATATTACACCTAAAAGGAACATTTTATTTCTTTATTTTGAATGACAAATTCAGCCGGTGCTTAGTAAAGTGCCAAAGCGACGCGGTGCGACCATGTATAGCAGCATGTGAAATGCAAATAGTTCAGTCTTCCTTCAGAAGTCGGTGTCAGGCCGTTGAGGAACTTGAAGTCAATCAAGCCACCTTTATTTTTTATAGGGCTTCATACAATAGAAATTGTTTTGAAGCAGCTTTACAGTAAAATACATGAAAGTAACAAAATTAATGATGCAAACTTCATCAGATATAAGCTGCTGAAAAGCGGCTGTAGGCTATAAGAACATTGTCATTTTTCAGCTCAATTCAGTTCAGTGACCATTCAGTTCAGTTCAATAACTGTGTAAAGTTAATTCACTAACTATATAAAGCAACTCTACAGAAGACAATAGCGTCATTATTGAGCTTCATCCTACAGTGTTAGTGGTGTCAAATCGATAATATTGCTAGGGGAAAACTGTATATGGGTATATATAGTGGTCTTACTAACTTGTAAGACCACTATAGTCAATCAAGTTAGTCATCAAACTTTTTTCTTTAAGACTATTCATAACTTTTTTAAGTCAGTTACATAAAAATGTACATTGGGCCTAATTTGATACCGAAAACTGTAAAAAAAAAAATCTGTAGAAATTACAGTATTACTGGCAGCTGCTTGCCAGTAACTTACTGTAGTTTTAAATTGATGTTATTTACTGGCAACAGTTTGTTTAAAGTTAAATGAACATTAAACATTAACAAGTCTTTATCTTTACAGAATAAAACTAATATAACAGCCTCATGCAAAGCATTAATGGGAACCAAAATCTGAAGGGAAAAAAAAAGAAAAAGGTTGATGAAGATTTCTGGTTCCGGGATGCTTTGCATTAGATTGTTATTTTATAGTTTTATTCTGTAAAGACAAAGACTTTGTTTAATGTTCATTTAACTTTGAACAAACTGTTGCCAGTAAATATACATCAATTTAAATCTACAGTAAGTTACTGGCAAACAGCTGCATAACTACAGCAATTTTTTACAGTGATAAGACTAACCGTTCCTTGACTAACTGCTAGTGAGTCATAGATCTTAAGACTGTCTTAACATAATGGTTACGTTTATGCAACTGGCCCTAGATCTATAGGATGAGGATTAGAATTTAAGATAAAGAAGTGTCTAGGCCAAACATTTTAATATATTTTTCCCTCAAGCTTGTAACAAAAATGCATAATTTCTTTAAAGCCAAGAGACAATCAAATTAACTGTAAGATCAATGTACAACTAAGATGTTTTATTTATTTTTTAATGTTTGGTTTTACTGGAGACAAACTGACAAGAAACTCTGCTGCCTATAACATTTGACTGACAGCTGTCACTTCTGAATCCAGTTTTTTGCATTTGTGTTAATGAATCTAGGGCCTTCAAAGTGCTAACTCCTTGAATTATGAATGTGGTTATGAGCTAATATGAAATTTATGAATATGCATTTACACTTATTCATTTACACTTGTCATTTATGCGTAAGTTTATCTTTCATCATGTCAATAAACTATCCAGCACAGGAAAAACAAAGTCATTTTTCTCATGGCAAAAAAGTGAGAAAAATATAGACAAATACTCTCAAGGTTAAGTCCTTGAGGAAACTAGCGTGCAGTTATGACCTCGGCTGTATTTCGGGACGAGCACACAGCGTTGCGTGTCTCTGTCCCATGAAGATGTCTGTGACAGATGAAGTGACGTTCTTTCATCTGACTCTTCTTCACTTTGAAGCACTTTGTGAGAGCAGCTGCAAGCGATCTGAAATCTATTAACACCCGCTACTCTCTTAAAAACACATTTCCTGAGGATGTGAAGATGCAGCCACACATGTGTCATGCGTTCGCTGAATGACCCCTCCGTATACCTTACATGCAGGAAGTATGATGCCATAAATGATGGATTTCAACAAGGGTTAAAAATACATCCATGATGTGTTTGGGAGAATG